CGCCGAGGGGACGCTGCCTCGCTGAAGCTGTTTTCCTCTTTAGAATCGCAGAATCGTCGAATCGTTTGGGTCGGAAAAGACCTTTAGGATCGTCCAGTCCAACCATTAACCCAACACTGCCAAGTCCAACACTAAACCAATTCAGGGGAGAGTAGCAACCCCGCGCCTCCTGGCTTGGTGGCTGGATCATTTATAATGAAAGTAAAAACTAGGAATCGTTAAGGTTGGAAAGGATCTCTAAGATCATAAGTCCTACCATCAGCCCAACACCCCCATGCCCACTAAACCATGTCCCAAAGTGCCACGTCGTCCTGTTTTTTGAACTCTTCCAGGGATGGGGACTCCACTACCTCTCTGGGCAGCCTGTTCCAAGGCTTGACTACCCTTTCCATGAAGAAATTTTTCCTAATATCCAATATAAGTCTATTCCCCCCCAAAATCACCCCATGACGGCTGCGTTCCTGCCTGGCCCCCTAACACAACAAACAGTGGGGTGATGGACGGGGCCCCGCAGGGGCGCGTGTTCAAAATCCCTTGATTTCTCTCCTTTTGGTAAAAGAACTTGCTTTTGTGCTCCGTGTCAGTTCTTTTCTCAATCCGCTCCTGAATCTATCTAGCCAAGTAAGCGTTCAAACAGATTTAACAGAACTACGGTATTACTCTTCACAGGAGAGGCCCCCATGGATACCCAGTGGTCATAAATCCAGAGCCGCGTCCCGTCTGCTCAGAGGGGCTGCTTTGGGGATTGAGGAGTTCAAACCTGGGCTCTCCGCCGGGTGACAACGCTCCACGACAGCACAAATACAGCTACCTCCAAATTCCCAAACTCTTCCAGCGAGTACAGCATTCTGCATAAGACCAAAATGCTTAAAAGGGCCGGGGAGCCGTTTTAGAGTGGTTTTGGGTGGCGAGTACAACACCACGGTTCTCAGCTATGAACTGAACAGTTTCCAGCTTCCAGGCTGGTACCAAAACCCACCGGGGGGCTGCAAGGACTCCAGGGCAGTTTTCAAGAGGAATTTACTGTTTCTCCAAAGTACTGTAGGAGACACATAGAAGGAGGTCCTCTGAAGTCTTGCTCTGTTGCACCAGGGCAAATGAGAATGAGAAAATATTCCAGTAGCAAAACTTTTAATTGCACAATGATCGGTAGTTTTTTAAGCTTTAAAACATGAAGTATTAGCATAAGAAAGTTCACTAGAAAGAGTTCTGACTGAACACCTGCCACATAAAGCATCTGCTCCAGTTTGTAAAGAGAAGTATAAATGAAGCTGTAACAGCTGTAAGCACCAGTGCAAAGCAAGAGGCACTGGAAAGGCAGCCACACCTCCTCTGAACAGAAAGGCCGTGCCACTTTGGTTAATTAATATTAGACAGCCCCTTTCAGGCAAAGGACTTTACAGAGCTGAGAGTGACACGCTATCCACGGGAGTCAGACCCTCAGCACTGAAGGGCAGCCGCTCCTGAAGAGCGAGAGGCGAGCTGCCCGAGAGCTCACAGCACCAGGCCTAAGCACCGAAGTGAAAATACAAGCTCCAACCACCACAGTCAGTGCCAATGCACTGCCTCCAAATATCCACATCCAGCTCGTGACCCCGGGAACACTGAAGAGGCGGATCCCTAGCCACTTTGTTGTGGCCAGACTTCTATCATTGGCTTGGTTCAAGGAGATTAACCGTTATCCCAGCATCTTTGGCAGCAAAAGCTCCCGCTGAGCGCTTCCCCAGCACGGCCCTGGACAGCCGTCGTCATACATCCTTCTTGCGAGAGAAGTAAAAATCTATCCCTCTGTCCTTGCGCTGCATCGGTGTGCCTGCAGGTTCTTTTCTGCCCCTGGGATGGGGACTTCTTCCCTGCTGCAAACAAAAGATGAACAGTGAGATATTTACTGATGCTGCAGAGTGAATCGGATCACAAAGCAGCCTTGACATGTGGAAAAAAGCGCACGTGGCACTTCTGCCTCCAAGCTTGCAAAAAGGAGGGGAGGCCTGACAGGTACAGCTCTAGGCTCGCCCTTAGGAAGCAAGGGTTTCCAGTAAGATATTGGGCTTGTATTTTCAAAAATATTTTGATACTCAGTTTGGGAGGGCTGAGGGGAGAGGTTCTTCTCCAGGCCTCAGTGACACTGGGCCAACAGTCCCTCCCAGTAGTATTTCAATTTCACAAGCACAGTGTGGCAGTGCAGGCCCAGAGCCCAGGGTGAGCTGGAAAGTTGATCAAAATGAAACTCCTGCCTGACGGAGGAGTTTTTTGGGTTCAAGTTTCATCACTGCCTCAAACCAGTGTCTCGCCGAGGGGATCCTTCACAGGGTCCTTTCTCTGATCTCAGATGGACTCTTAAGCAGAAGGGTAACAATCCAGGCCCAAAACAGCACGGCTGGAAGTGGAAGGCTTTGCTTCCACAAAATTTCCTACTCATGGCAAAGGAATCTGGCCTGAGAAATTCGGTACTGCACCTTGGGATTAAAACCCGAAATGGAGACATGTTTCATTCCTCATTGAACATCATACAAGTAAATTTGAGCCTCCACAAAGTATCCAGACTCAGGAGGAGGCAGGGAGGATGCGTGGGGGAAGACAAAATGCTGAAAACCCCTTCAAATACACAACTGTTGGTTACAAACATTTCTTCCTTCCCTTCTAGCTCCACCACCACTGGTCCCACCCAGACCTACAGAGCACTTCCCTTCCGTACCTGTCTCCTCCAAGAACAGCAGCCCAGTCAGCAGATACAAGTCTTGACATGTTGCAGGATCTACATCTTAATCTGTCCCCATTCTAAAGGGGAGATACACCCAAAAAGCAAAGTGCAAAGGCCAGTCCCCATATTTACTGGTCTTCCTGACTTCAGTTTGGGTGCACTCAAGCATGGTAGGAAGTTGGTTGGTTTTACTTCCACCTCATGAACAGAGTGGAAACTGAGCATCAACCCGGGCTCCCTTCTGTCTGTCTGCAGTTGGGGTGGTTAGGCCCGTGGAGGCCTTCAGAGATATCCCATCCCTCCCTGCCTGCTGTTGGGGCACGAAGGAGGCTGTGAAGGACATGCTTTCTCTAAGCCCTACCGACTACACAAGGCTGATGGGATAAAGAAGCAGCTAAAATTTACGTCATTCACCACAGCGGGTATATCTGGCACTATGTACATCCAGAAGGAAAAAACCTGAGTAAGAAAAGCTACCTAGAAAATAGTAAACAAAACATGCATGGGTTTATTCCTCAGCCCCAAAGCCTACTGGCCCGGCACAGTTTATGTCCATACGACGTAGCGTGGCGTTGTCAAGATTGTCTTTTGTGACAGCTCTTAGCACGTGGGACCCTCAAACTGTGCTTGGACACAGTTCTGGAAGGTGCTGGTTGGCCTTGGCAAAATAGAGCTGGGCAATACACTGACAAGGTGACTGTCTGGATGAGAGGAGGTTGGTACGTGGGCTGGTGCCTCAGACCTGTTTAGTTTACTAGGACAGCCACAGCTAAATAACCCTGGCTGCACAGTCCCTGTGCAGAGCTGGACCACCCTCTGCTGTGAGGTAAAAAAAGCAGTTTTTTCCCTTTATACCTGAGAAAGAAGAGGAGAATTCACAGACACTCCTACAGATGCAGAGCAGCTGCTGCCTGGAGCCCTCCCACCCCATCCGAACCTTCCCAGTACTCACGGGCCTCCGGTTGATGTGTTGGCTCCACTCCGGGGCTGTCACAATGGGCTGTGGGTAGGTCTCACCTAGAGTTACTCCTGCCTGGGAGAGAGCAGCACTGCTCAGTGCCCAAGGGGTGTGGATATCTGCTCCCTTTATGCCCTGTAGTTCTGGGACCCACAGCCGGACATAATCCCCCTGCAAACAGAACCAACAGGATAGGATCCATTCAGTAATAATCTGTAAGTGCTTCCCAGCAAGGGTCTGTCTTAATATGAAAGAAAGAAGCCTGATTTCCAGGTAAAGAAGCTGGAAACAGCATCTGGTCACAGCATCAGTGACCTCTTTCAAGTCTTAGCTCCTCCTGCTAAACCCTCTACCCAGAATTAGCGGCTAAATACAGAGACCTGGATGCTGGAGCTCTTCTCCCAAGCTCACTCTACAGGCAGAGGAGGGAGACAGAGGCGCTTTTTTGGTACAGTTCACCTGCCCTATTTAGGACATAGCGAGATGAAGTCACTCGCAAGAAGTCCTTTCTTCTTTCCAGTGACTGAAGGAAACTAGGGTGACTAGCTCAGCTGCACCCTCTTGTGCTTGGCAAGATGAACCCCCCTTGCCCCTGAATCTCTCCCATTAACTCTACTGCTGTGTCCCCTACTAGGACTAATTTCTGATTCCTTGCTAAGTCCTGCAGCTACAGCGCTGAAAGGCAACAGCACAGCTTGCCATGAAGCTAAGGAACGGGGTAGAAACTGGTTATCTGGTATGTGAACACTGGCTAAGCACATGGAAAGGGCGATTTATCCGCTCCCACCACGTACAGAGGATAGTCAGAGGAGTCACACCTTTAATGTGCTCTCCAGGACCTCCCAAAGTGCCATGTGAGCAGCTCCGTCTCTCATCACTTCTGAGTTCTCCAAGAAGCTGCTCTGTGCTCAAGGAAATGGCCGTGTGAGATACGGATGGGATCTGGCTGTTACCCGGAAGAAATGGTGATGAAACACTAAACACACAGGCCAACGGCAGGGCAGAGAGGGCATACAGAGCACCAGCCTCTTTGGGGACAGGAGCAGATTGTAAACGTCAGATCTTCCTGTACCACAATGAGGAACCTGCCTGACTGTCGGCAAGGAGATCACAGAACTGTTTTTGCAGCAGTATCCACAGAGCAGATTCATCTCCTCTGTTCCCTGAAACTACCACATGTGCTTTGCTGCACTCTTCCTTGTAAGACAGCCAAACAAGACTCACATTGCCATCGTAATCCAGGCCTTGTTTAATCATGTTAAACTTCCTGTTGTCCCGTGGGTCGTTGCCAATACCAGCGCTGTATAACCAGTTGCCGTAATTGCTACAAACGTCGTAATCCACCTTGAGAACAGAGGAAGAAAACAGTAAGAAGAGCTGGGCCGGCCCTTGGTGAATCTTCTCTCCCCATCCATCCCTTATCTCAAGGGAAGAATTCCTTGTGTAGGAATCACCCTGGCCACACTGCGGTAGTCAGGCGCTCTCCCATGTAGGTACAGCCATCTAGCCCAGAAGAGGACCACGCTGCGTGGCTGTTTTGCACAGCTGGGATCAGCTTCCCAGGCTACTTCACTTCGTGGTCCTTAGGTCAATGAGATAGAAGTCCCTCTCTTTCTCAGTTTCCTTTCTATTTTAAAAATCTTTCTCTTTGTGCCATCATCTGGCAGACTTCATGACAACCAGCCCTAGCTTTTGAGCGCTCATATTCCAAGAAACAGTAGCCCAGTACATTTCAAATACAAGAGAAAATCCTTCCTGACCGGTTACCCAGAGACCACAGACTAACAAAATAATCTCTGCTGATCCTGTTAGGCAGACTGGAGAAAAGTCTAACTCAGACTGTATGGAGTGACCACACAGAGTGTATGAAGATGCAATTGATACAAGCACTGCAGTTTTTTCCCTGATATACTTGACCTTCATCGGGCAATAAGCCTTAATTCACAGGGACTTGGCAGAGAGAGGTGCTTTGCTACGGGAAACGCTAGAGCTCTCATGACGTACTCAGTAGGCTGCACATCGTCAACTTATTCTACATCTAAACAAGCTCTGAAGGATGCTTATGTAAAATGCAGCAAGGCTCCTGACACAGGCACAAATGAGAGCAGAACATGGTTCAGTCTCAGTGCCCTTCAGCTGGGCAGAGTGGCCTAAATCCGACATCAGGAGCTCCTCAGTTGTAGGACAATTCAAACCTAGCTCAGGAGGGGAGCAGCAGCGGTAGCAAATAGGGCATGGGATCTCTGTGCATTCCTAGGAGGGGTGTTGGCATTGCGAAAGCCTTGTGCTGGCAGCTGCAGCAGCAAGAGTTTGAAAGACATGTCACTGAGCAGGTTCAGTGCTGTTCTCTTCTCCCTTTACTGCAGCCACAGTGTCAACCATTCCGCATGGCTATGTTTCCAGAATCTCAGCCACTCCTTAAAGTGAGGAGCAAAACGCACCCAGATGGCAGAAGGCACGGGGGAATGGGCTGTGCCCGGTTCCCTTCCCCTTTCCCTGCACAGCCAGCCGAGCACTGGGGTCAGGGTGATCAATGGCCAGCTATGCTCAGCGTGCACCAGGCTTCCCCTTCCCAGCGGCACTGCCTCCGGTCGGTGAGGTAAGGAGGGGAAGAAAGATGCCATCGGAGGCCTGATTGTGCAATTAGCATGCAGGAAAGCGTGTGTGGGAGGCGAGGGCAAATCCAAAGGGGACTGGAGGAGGCAGGCTCATTTCCCCCTCAGCCTTGCCCCTTCCTGGCATTCTCTTCCGTTTGTTTCTCTCCCTTTCCTTGGGGCCTGACCCTGTGAATGAAATCACAGCTGAGATAGTCTCTGTTCACGACACCAGAGGTCTCTTTCCCCCGGCTTCAGCGGGTTGCAGAGAGCTCGCCTTAGCCTCCCTGCCCGTCTGGCGTGGATGACAAACACCCTCTTCTTCACAGGCACATGAAAATACTCGGTGGGCCTTTGCTGGAAGTGTCAGAGATGAAATATGCATTGCTTTCCCTTTTTAGAGGCAAGTGAGACCAGTTTCAGTTCTGTACTGACCTCTACCATTCCACAGCTATACCTCCCCCATCAAACTGATGTCTCCTGTGTGTTACTCTGGGGATGCCACCAGGTTAAAGTAACAGAGCTGTCTAGCAGTGTATCAGTGTGACACAAGCTGAAAGGAAGGGACGGAAGGACACAAGGATCAGCCTGTGCCACACCACCCTACAGTGGCAGTCAGCATCTGGGGCTTCCCGAGATGAAAGGGCTAGTGCCGAGTGCTAAATGCTGCTTCCAGCAAGGCTGGCAACATTCACGCCCGTATGAGTAAATGTAAGTAACCCAGGGAGCGTCCTTCTAGTGTGAGACCTTCCAGGTCTTCCTCACTTGAGGAATAGACCTGGAATCTTCTGTTACCCTCCAAGTTTGACTGCAAAGCGAACCAAGCTCCTATCTGAGCAAGGCAAGGCTGCCCGCCTGTCAGAGCAAAGCCTCAATTCCTGACTCCCAACTCTTAATCAGCCGGTGACTTTGAGCACGGGGCTTGCCTGTACATGAAGCAAGCTGCCCTCTCTGTGAAATGAAGTCACCTTTGTAACTGCTGTGAAAGCCATAGCTGATAGATGCCATCAAAAGCCAGATACTACAAAACATTCAAAACAGTCCTAGTGGCTCAGTCCGCAGGACAGGCATGCACGGATGTGTTTGTGCATTTGCGTGTGCTGTACTGTTCCGGAGGGCCACTGTGTGTCATATACCGTGCACTCAGGCTACAGGAATTAGATCACCCATACTGAAATGCAGCCCCTGCTTGGCAAGTCACTGCTACGAAGCTTAGGGCACGCCGGGTATCAGCTATCACACAACCCACTGAAACTGCCAAAGAAATGCACTCAAGGTAAGATTTTCCATCCCAAATTCCAGCCAGGATATAAAGGATAAGGCCACCACTTCTCTGATACAAGTCCTCTGGTGCCACATGCTGGGGACTCTCGCTCTTATCTGGAAAAGCATTGCTGCATGGAGCTACCAACACCACTTTGTGGAGGATCCTGCAGAAGTCCTGCACCGAGTTACTGTGCAAGCCCACCACTGCTCACAGCGCTGGTGTGAGACACAGCAATGGGAAAAGCACCCAGATCTGCCTGTAGATCTGCAGCCAAAGCCAGGTGTCGTGGTTTAACCCCAGTTGGCAAGTAAGCACTGCACAGCCGCTCGCTCACCCTCCCCCTGCAGTGGGATGGGGGAGAGAATCGGGAAAAAAAGTAAAACCCGTGGGTTGAGGTAAAGGCAGTTTAATAGGACAGCAGAGGAAGAGAAAGTAATAATAATGATAAAGGAATATACAAAGCAAGTGACGCACAATGCAATTGCTCATGACCTGCTGAGCGATGTCCAGCCCGTCCCCGAGCAGCGATCGCTGTCCCCCAGCCAGCTCCCCCCAGTTTCTATACTGCCCATGACGCCATATGGTATGGAATAGCCCTTTGGGCAGGTTGGGTCAGCTGGCCTGGCTGTGCCCCCTCCCAGCTCCTTGTGCACCTGGCAGAGCATGGGAAGCTGAAAAGTCCTTGACTAGCGTAAGCACTACTTAGCAACAACTAAACCATCAGTGTGTTATCAGCATTATTCTCATCCTAAATCCAAAGCACAGCACTATGGCAGCTACTAGGAAAAAAATTAACTCTACCCCAGCTGAAACCAAGACAGCATGTCAGAGCCCAGCTCCAAGGAAGCTCAAAAAAAAAAAAAAAATTACATTCATAGAAAAGGCTTTTAATTGCAGATAATGGCAAGGTGACTGGGCTTTCTCTGTACCTCCAGCCATCCTAGTGAGTAGAAAGTTTCCTGATTACCAATAGCCTCTTGTATTCTACAGACAAGATCCTTAATGTGAGGCTGATATTAGTCTTTTTCAATCTGTACCATTCAGTCTGGTGAAGAACAAACACAGATTATCACCTCCTCAGCCTCAGTTTTCACAGCTCAGCTTGGTGCTACTGACCGTCTCTCCATCAGCATCACCAGAGATAACGGCAAGCAAGCAAAGACACACAGAGCTGTAGAGAGGCACAGAGCCTGCGTCTCTGAACTGGGGCCTGCCAACCTGTTCAGAACTTCCTAGAAAGAATCTATGGGGACTGGGGAGGGAGAAGCGACCCAGCTATTTAACTTTGCTTGCATGGCTGCTGACTGGCATATGAGAAATGAATTGGTGCTCCAGCAGGCCGGGAGGCCTGTGACTCACCAGAATGAAGAAGGATGCCTCCAGCCAGGGTGGAGCTCGCTGGAAGCTGATCCAGCTATTGTCCATACTCGCCTCTTCTTGACTAGATGACTTCCCTGTCCACAGCGATCAATGCAAAGATGCTGTGCCAACACTGGCTTCTGTAGCCAGAACACATTACTTTTTATGTTGTATTTCTGGGCTGTCCTCCTGCCCAGCCTCTGGGGTGAGCAAATCAGAGCACTGTTAACATAATTTACGCTTGAAAGTTTTCTCCAGTGTGACAGATCTCTGGCTAAAACCCTACATAGAGGATCAAAACTGTCATTGCAAACTTCCTAGCTACATCTCGGTTGATGGATTCCCTCTTCTTACGTGAGCTTTGGGAAGTACATACCACACAAGCAGTACATACATGCATTTATATCAGCCAGGAAATTACTGATCATCTTCTGTATCCTTCCTTATTAGGCAGAGCTCTCCTCCTGTCTGTCACTCAGGGCAGGGAGCACAAACAACTCCAGACACACAAGGGGTATTGGGTATTGTCTTACCAGCAGGTATTGGAACCACTCTGCCCCCATCCTCCAGTCTAGACCCAGGTCCTTGGTGAGAAAGCTGGCGACATTCTGCCGCCCTCTGTTTGACATGAAGCCCGTCGCAGCCAGCTCTCGCATGTTGGCGTCGACAAAAGGAATCCCTGTTCTGCCCTCTGCAGAGACAAAAGACAGCGCTGGGATACGATGACATTATTGGGCATTCATAAAGCAACCTGTGGTCATGCATTCACAGCCAGCCAAGCAGGTAAGACAGTGCCAGCGTACAGCGGCAGGGAGAGATTTCAGTGAGGTTTAGCTGGCGTGCAGCCACTAAGATCCACTGGAAATTAAATGGGAAATTATACTGAAAATTAAAATGAGGAGAATTTTTGGCAAGAAAAAAAACCAAGGAACTGAAAAAACTCAGACTGGAAAAACAACGGATCAAGTGGATTGCAGGGCATTTTGCAGAGCAAAATAAATAGGCACACAATAGTGAGATGGGCCAAGAACAGAAAAATTCTTGACAGGTGACTAATAGCAGTGAGGCAAGTATTGGACAAGTCCCCAAGGGTTAGCATCTGAAAAGTAGAGAGCCTTGTCCGTTGTTAAGGAAAAGATTTATTGTACCTGAAAGGGACACACATGGCAATAACAGGAAGAAAGTGATATAGGTGTGTATTTCACTGATTCTGATACTTTAATCTGTTAGTCCCTCCAAGTTTTAATTTGCGATATTATGCCTGCTATTCATGTGACAACAAAGTTATAGAAGCTAAAGAAAAGCAAGGATATTAAAAGGCTGTGGTATAACGAAAGATGTGATTTATTCTAAGGCTGTTTTAACCTTCGTTAGAACCAACTGGAAGAACGGTTTAGCATTGATAAGAAGGGCTGGTCAGCCTCTGTGTGACTGAACAGAAGGGACCAACAGGTCGTAAACACTTCCAGCTGGGCAGGAAGATCTCACTGCAGGGCATCTCAGAAAGCACGCACCAGCCAGACGGGGCCTGGCCGTTCATGACAGCCTGTGGGTCTGCTCCTGTGTGGTGCTCAGTCTCAGAGGGGAAGCCAAGCATCCTGCGCTCACGCCGAACTGAGGGGCTGGATTCTCGGTAACGGTTTCAATGACCGTCAGCACTGATGGTGCTGACCGTTCCCCTACATAAATCTGAGTTAGCGTTAGGGCACACGTTAGCATGCACACACATGGAAACCGAAAGCACGCTTAGCCAAACCTGTGGTTTCTACTGACCTTTCCAACAGTCAAAGAGCTGAAGGTCCTTTTTCCAGGGGATCTCTTTACTTTGAAGCCCTATTTAGGAAAAGAATGAACTGCTAATGAAGACAAATGCTGACACAGGCAGTTATTAACAAAACAATGACAGCCAGAGGCACCTTGGTTGACACAAGACATTAGGATGAAGCCAGCCCTCTCTGTGGTATTACAAACAAGCCACGTTCCTTCTGCAAAGGTTTAGAGACGATCTATTCCTCCTTTCAAGTGTTGCAAAGGGGTGTCTCATGCACAGAGAGGACACTCAAGCCCTAACGGATTTTGATTATTTGTTCTGTTGGTGTTTGCTCTTTTTTTTTTACTTAAAAATGACTCAGACTTCACAAGTGGCCGGAGATGTGCTCTGGCCCAAGCTAATATTTTCTTGTTCAATTTTACTCCAGGACAATGTTTATGTGAAATCCATTTCTGTAGCAGATACTGAACCCAGAATTACCTGGCAGAAGCCCCCCCTGGTAACACTTTGCTCCTGCAGTGGGGTAGGAACAGACGATGACTTTAGGTTTGCAGGGGTCCCGTGGCAACTGCAGTTCTCTGTACAGTGGAATAGAGGCAGCAGGCACAAGTCAGCTCTAGCTCCAGACATATAAGGTTAGGCCCACCACTGGCATCCAGCGCCATTTGAGATGCTGTAGGGCATTCGGAACAGCCACACAGGCCTGGCAGATGTGACACAGGCCCTGAGGGAGACGTGCTCCTCTGCAGCCACAGCTGGATGCCAGGCAGACTGCCCTAGGGCATCTAGAACAGTGCTGTATGCTTAGGTGTGGGCAGCTACCTCACACGGAGAACAGCTCACCCAACACGGGGGAGGGTTTCCTGGCTGTACGGACTAGGTATTGGTTGCTGCACTGAGTTCAGACCCCTGTTTCATGTGTAGACACCTGCACGTAAGTGACAGGGCCTGGAGCTGAATCTCATCCCGATTCCTAGGTAGTGCAAGGCAGAAAGAGTATCTGGTTTCTTGGGATTCATGCTGCTGGGTCAGTTCCTGCTCTGTCCCAGATTCTCTGGTGAACTTGGGCAAGCCTGAAGCTGGATTCTCTCCAAAGGTGGAGTGTCTCCGGAAACAGCATCTTTACTCTTATTGTGCTGCTGCTTCCCACTGACACGTGTTAATACTACTCCCCGTATCTAATCAGATTCAGGGCAAAAGTCTCAGTGTCTACACTGTGTCCAGCACTGTGGTGTTGGGGCACTTCTGTGCTAATAGTAAGTCCCCAGTGACATCCCAGGGTGGTGACAGAAGCGCTGAGATGAACATTTGTACAACACAATGCTGACAGCCTCTTCTCTTCCTTTCCCTCTTGTAAGACTGTACCTTTCCTCTCCAAATATCGTGATCCATACACACCTCTTAATGAGAAAATCCTTTTGCCATACTTCAGGGCCACAAATCGGAAGTAATCCCGCCACAGCAGTTCAAACAGGACCCTAAAACACAAAGCCATATCTGTATTTCACTGTGGGTCAGACAAAATTACGGAATGAGGATGTTGCTTCCATAGCACCCATCGTTAACACCGTGAGGTTTATTCACAGTGAGCAATTTGATGTACCTTCCCATGATACCATTCTTGCCCCAATCCTGCTTACCTAGCTTGCACCTGGATGACTACAGTGAAAGAAAACTTTGCATGAATCACTTGGGAAGCTTTCCTTAACTCTTGTGCACAACCAGAATTTCAGGAAACTTGTTTCTCATCCATCCCTCCTGAGATACAATTCTCCAAAGAGCAGGGTGAGGACCTGATTCACCTTCATGTTTCCGCACGAGCAAGCATGTCAGCACATTCCTAAGAGCTCTGCGTTGATTTAAGCAATAACCTTTGTAAGGGATTTAAAGGCAACTTTCAAAACTGGGTTTGCAGTGGTCTAGCTCATGAGATCAGGTGCTAGGCCCACAGAAAATAGACAGTTTTATATAAAAACTTTTATACGGAAAGAGCTTCTTATACAATGACGGCACCTGAGCCTCTGAGACCTGCTTCAGCTCTCTGGCATATTGGAAATATTCTGCCCAGCTGATGTTTAGGCTTCCAAGATCTTTCTGGAAAATCTGATAACAAAACAGGACACTGTCCAAATGCTACAAACCAGTGTCACGATACTGAGGTTCAATCAGTCCCTCACGTGCAGCCACCATGACCTGTACTTCACTGTACAATTGACCACAGTGCCTGGGAGCTCGACAGCTTCTTTTTTATCATTATTTATCACTTTAAAATGCTTCAATCAGCATGGCACCCCCACTGCAGGCAGGCTGGCTGGCTATTAGATGGAAAAACATGAGTATGTTCATTTCTTGAAATCCTTCCTTTCCTAATTGTCTTTGAAGAAAAAAATAAAAGCATACACTTCAACAGTGGTCGACATTTTATCTGTCATTTGAATTTTAATGAAACTGAGCGTTTCGGCCAGAATTGTTGGCAATCTTCTGCCTGTTCTTCACCAACCACTGTGCTGTTTGACACATTGCAAATGCAACAAACCAATATGGAAAGGTAGTCCTGCAGTTTGCACAGACTTTCTGGTTTGGGTTTTTTCCCATCCGGGTCTAGCATTAGGCCAGGCTCTAACATGCACCTGCTTCTCCATAAGAGCTCCCTACCAGGCTCTAATTCACAGTGTCTGCACAGATCAGAGTGCACGAGCAAGTTCAAGGCCAGCCCAGGGATGGATACACTGACCTCAACTGTCCCCCAGCCTCCTTCAGGACAACCTGCAGGCAGGCGAGCAGCCAGCAGCGGGGTGAGGAAGAGCACGGGTGACAAGGCAGGATGCATTAAGCCCGCTTCCCAGTCGCCTCTTCCCCTTTGCTATGGTGTTGTGGTCATGCTCAAGCAGCTGAGCAAGCATGGGGCCATTTGTTGGACTGTGGCCAGAGCTCCTCCTGACATGATTCGTACAAGCCACACAGTCGCTGGGCCTTTTGGGTGAAACCCTGCTCATATCCCTTTGGCTTTTACTTGTAAGTCCTTCTTCTTCCTTCTCATCTAGCCCATAATAACAATACAGAGAGGGATGGTGATGATTTACAGAGGTCAGTTTTAAAAATCATGAAGCACAATTTCCCAGCAATAATAATGACAACTAGCGTTAGTAATCTTTACTTATAAAGTGCCTAAAGCCTCTGCATGTCAAAGACAGACTAATAAATCCATACTGAAACAGAACTGCAATGCAACCCAGAGGAACCAGAGAGCAGGCACAGGAAAAACAAACATTAATTAAGAAGAAAGTTAACAAACCACTCTCTCCTGTGCAATGCCTGTTTCCTTTTCAGAGAAGACAAGCCACAGTGATCGTCCAGGGACATACCAGTATGTGCTCTGATTTGCCGTTCTCTCTTTTTCATACTTCTGGATCTGCTCGTAGATGTGTCGAGGCGAAATGCAGCCCAGCGCCAGCCTGCAAGCAGAAGAATGATGTCCTGAATGCAATGCAGGACTGACAGCTTGATGTCTGCACGGAAGGAGTGGAGGGGCAGTTTTGCATTTAGAATTGTTGTCTGAAAACTTTTGCTTGGTTTGCAGTTATGCTGCTGACTTCCCAAATGGCTTTAGTCAAGTTGTATGACTTTTTTTTTGCAACTCTGCAATCTCAGAATCAAAATCTTCCCCTTCCCAGCATATGACTGTTACAGGAGTCTCCAAACTACTGAGATTAATCATTTTACAGAAGTTTGACAAGTTTTGCCTAAAAGACTTGATCAGCTGGGGACTTAGAGCACCAACAACAAACCCAGAAATAGATCTCGAGTGTCAACCTCTACATCGCCTGCCTTAGCTGTTCAACAGCCATTCTTTTACTACAAACCTATTTGGCTTGGTAATGTTAGGTTAATGGTTGGACTGGATGATCTTAAAGCTTTTTCCAACCTAAAAGATTCTATGATTCTATGATTCTATTTATCATGTGTCCATGGCTCCTATTGCTGCAGTACCTTAGCGTCTCATTTGAGCAAGCACAGAAGGCAAGTGGCTTGCTGAAAACCTCAGGCAAAATTAGGGAATCAAACCCAGCTCTAGCATTTCAACGCACTGGGCTCCTTCCATTTGTTCCAAATCAGTGCTGTGCAAGACAGGGAAGAGCTTGTACACTCCAAGCCCACAGCAAAGGGTGACAAGACACAACTTTTACCTTGATTTTCCTAGAAATGTATTTTACTGCCATTTCCCACTAGGGTTCGTGGAAACATTTGATGTTGTAATGAGTTTTGGAAAACAAGAAGAAAGGGCCTGAAGAGTTCCTTAATTATTGACCAGATCTAACACTTAGAAACAGCCAGTATGAGGTGGCTGCAATCTGAACCGTTCTGATTTTGATCATCTGACAGGAGAACACTCTGGGGCAGGCAGATCAGGACTGTCTGCTCTGGGCAAACGGCCAGCTTCAAAAAACGCAGGTGGAGGCCACCACAGCTAAAGAACGTCTGCGGTGCCAGGGGTCCTGGGATCCCAAAGTGCCACCAGGTGGAGCCAGCCACTGCAACCACTAGAGCACAAAGCCGGCTGAAAATAAGAAATCCTGACCTTAACAGCCTCAAAAAAATTGTTTCATATTGCAATTCTGTTGGGAAAACGCTCCAGATGCTCTCAGCATTAGGCTGAACTGAGTTCTGCTGCTGCAGTTTCAGTCCAGAATTAACTCTGCCCCTTCCAGCACCGGAGACTAAAAGCCCTAATTAGAAGTCATCATATTTGCCCAAACAAGAGATCCTTTTGCAACAGGAATAATCAGAAGCACCTCTTCACCCCACAGGAAAACAGAGTGGCAGTGAGGTGAGGTGACTTGCCCCACAGTGTTCAGCAAACCAGGACAGGATCGAGTTCTGCTACAGCCCTGCCAACACGCTGAAGCTACACCTACACTTCTTCCCTGGCTGGTCTCAGCCACCCCAGAGACACAAAACAGCACAAAGCCAAAGACAAGTTGCGTGTCTCTCCAGCGCCCCGTCCACATGGCTGCTCCCAGCACAGTGGGCTCTTGGCAGTGTTGCTACACTTCAGCAATTCCTAACTGCAAGAATGTTCCCAGGGAACTGCTGCCTGGAAGCGCAATAAAGAGCAGCTCTGAGGCTGCTCCACCCCAACAAAAAGTGCGAGGGAATCACACCTAGACCCCTACCCATTCCCACTGAGCACTCAGCAGACAGGTAACATCAATTTGGGATGGGAGCAGAGAAGGAGCTTCCAGTCTCACAACAAAAATCTTTACCATGGTGCAAATTTAGTTGAGTAATCCATTCCCACCAGTCCATTCCGAGTCTCCTTGTAAGATGCAACCAGGTTCTGTGCAAGCAAAAGAAAAAAGGGTTTTAATCCTTTACGTGCAACCCGCTAAATATGTTTTCTTTCATACTGGAGCCAGGGCAATCTGGCAGGGCTGGGCTCCCTCTCATGGCTGCCTGGAAGGATTACAGAGCTGCCAAATTACTGCCTCCAGTGCACAGGAATTAATCAGGCCAGCAGTTTTCATTATAGCTCTGGGATGCATGTCACAAGCTAAGCTCTCCGCTTCAGCCTGTAGCACATCCCTTTCTACAAGCACTATGAAACTGGCTGTGCTGCTGCCTGCCCATACCCATCTGACTTTGGATCAATAATCCATTTACAAGCACCAGCGGGACTGGCGGTCCGTTCCCTTGTCCGTGTGGCTGCTTGTTTGGGTTTGAGAACCACAGTGTCTGACAGCACCCAACACTCAGCTGCAGGAACCCTGATCACTGTTATTTCTGGGCCACCCACATTTACAGCAGGGTGCAGATCTTCCATCTTCTGGGCACTCCATTGACAATGCAGAGGACATAGGGAAGCCTGATCTCTCCTTGATTCCCTTCGCTGCACAGGTTACAATTGCTAACGGGCTGTTCTAGCTCAACGGGGAAGACAATATTTGCATAACAAAAAAGAAGGAGCAGGTTTTCCAGCACTGATTATACTGATGCTTGACCATGACTAGAAGCTATCCATGCTTGTACTGGTTTTGGCTGGGGTAGAGTTAATTTTCTTCATGGTAGCTAGTATGGGGCGGTTTTGGATTTGTGCTGGAAACAGTGTTGATAACACAGGGATGTTTTCGTTACTGCTGAGCAGTGCTTACAGAGTCAAGGCCTCTTCTTCTGCCTCTCACCACACCCCACCAGCGAGCAGGCTGGGGGTGCACAAGGGGCTGGGAGGGGACCCAGCCGGGACAGCTGACCCCAACTGACCCAAGGGATATCCCATACCGTATGATGTCACGCTCAGCATATAAAGCTGGGGGAAGAGAAAGGAAGGGGGGACATTGGGAGTGATGGTGTTTGTCTTCCCAAGTCACCGTTACCCGTGATAGAGCCCTGCTTTCCTGGAGATGGCTGAACACCTGACTGCCGGTGGGAAGGAGAGAATGAATTCCTTGTTTTGCTTTGCTTGTGCGAACAGCTTTTGCTTTACCTATTAAACTGTCTTTATCTCAACCCACAAGTTTTCTCACTTTTACCCTTCTGATTCTCTCCCCCATCCCAGTGGCAAGGAGTGAGGGAGTGGCTGTGTGGGGCTGAGCTGCCTACTGGGGCAGCGTGTAAACCACGACAACGCTCCCCAAAAGCATGGGAATGCAGGAGCTTCTGTAGCACAGCCAAAAGAATCCCCTGGGGGCTGTCCCAGTGAGCGCACTGGACACAGCACACTTCTTAACCCACCTCAACTGGAGAGATGCTACCCCCTTTACCCACAAAGCTGCGTAGGGTCTGATGCTGTTGGAAATCAGCATACATGTCATCATCTAAATTTACACAAGGCAAATTTAAGGCAGTTTCTCAAACTAGACCAGGAAAAGGTTCAAAAATGTTTAGATGAAATGCAGTCAGCAGCAGCTTCACTCCACCAAAGTGAGGGAGCAAGAAGTAGCTGTAATTATTGGCTGCAAGTTTTTAAACCAGACTACTAGGGACCTCCTACTATTTTTAACTGTGGGCAGCAGCTTGGGTCGGTTGTTCCTCACCCCAATTGCAATCGCAGCCCTTCAGGCTGCTTTTCACTCCTCCAAAATGGAGGAACTACATTGCTGATGACATGGGACAGGAGAGTAGAAAGGGCAAATCAAGGTAAAGGAACTAAAAAATTGTCCCAATTCCCAAAAGTTGATGGAAAAAAAGATTTAAGAGGGATGGCCACTAAACTAGGTTCCTAAGTATTTGGCTTACATTCCCCATTCCTGGATGACTTCTTTTTGATTGTTTGTCTCTCTGAAAAACTAAAATAATGCTAATTCCCTCCTTTAAGTGCTATACAGGAGCTAAGGAAATATTATTAGGAAGTGAAATTGCAGCCTCACCCATTTGCACAGCCGTATGTACAAGGGGGAGGATGCAGACAAGGAAATGTCAGAGTTACCGTGTCCCAAAAATAATACTGCAGTCTCATTAAAGCCTGGGTCTCTCCTCCACTGCAGGGGAAGGCTGTTCGTGGATCATTCACAGGATCTGCCACAGAAAACACCATCACCTTGTCACCCTCTTGGAAAGCATCTCAAAGGTAGGGAGCTTAAAATCTAGGAATGTTCAGCAGTAGGGAAGTCTGCTTTGGGAACATAAAAGATTGTGCCCTGGTCTTCGTTTCAAACAAGGGCCACACCAAACATTAAAAATTACTGACTAAGAGGATGTTTTCTACCCAGCTGCAGGGCAGCTCCTCCCTGCAGGGAATTTACTGTATGAGTGAACAGAGGGTTAGTTACAGTTTGAAGGGCAACCACTGCCTTTGGGAGGCCTCCATGTTTTGATTCTCAGTAAGAAACATCTCTAAGTAGGATTTCATGGGAGCAACTGTCAAATTAAGTTTTCTTACCCTTCTGTCCCAAATCCTCCATTGTAGGGATATATCCTTCTTCCACCCCTGGAGCCAGGGGCTTGAGCTGATCTGCCATGCGCAGGGTTGGCCGGACCTTCGCCTCTGATTCCACCGCTTTTCGGAACTGGGTGTACACATCGGGCAACCTGCACAGATTACAGCGCAGTCAGATCTCTGTAGGATGACTACCCTGGCCCCTCCACACAGCACCACACAGCTTCCACAGATGGAGGGTTAGCTTTTTAGGCTGGGCTCTCCTGAGTTCATATTTGTGATGCATGTTTGTACATCACCTGGCACAAAAGAGGCAGATGCCCTCGGGGCTAGCAATAACAGGGAAGTTCAGTCCTTCGCCCAATTTCTTTCTGCTTCTGATGCAAATGGTGACTTTTCAAGTTAAGGTGTGTCCTGATGGGGCAACCCCTGAGGGTCAGATTTATCTCACCTAACTTCTGATTACCCACAAGGCTGACCTCAATGTAAAAATGTTCAACCTCCCACTGCCTTTTCAGTCAATGGAGAGAAACAGGCATTTTTATGGCCTGACTCTTTTGTCCTATTTTATAAATTTTCTACAGGATACCATAAATCACTCAACTCCATCACCTGCACCTCAAGTGACTATTAAGGGAGCCATGAAGAGTCCACACACAAAGGGCTCCTGCCATAGGCAGGTGCATTTAGCCAGATGAAGTAACGGAGCAATCCAGTCCAATGTCACAAGGACTCAGCACTGCAGACTGAGTATCCAAACTGTGCTGCTAGAAGGGCAAAGAGAAATCAGTTCCTCAATAAATGGTCAAACAAACCCCTCAGCTTTACGCATATCAGAGCATAAATCCTGCTAGTACAGAGGGATGAATGTGCCCCTTCCCCTTGACGTGTATGAGCATGACAGCACTTGCATAAATGCAGGTGGACTAACGGGTCCCTTCCCTGTGGGACCGGATGACTACGATCCCTCCTGAGCAGTTCACTGGAGTGAGAAACAAATGGGACACTCGAGGGGTAACTGATACCGTGGAGCAGCCCACCTGGCAATAGGCCTGAAGGGGAGGTCGTCCCGATGATACAGCGTGGATGCCCAGAATGTCTGAACCTTCACCCCGTGCTGACTACACACCTGGCACAGCCCCTTCTCCACATCCAGCTCCTCCTGCGTGGCCTAGGGAGAACAAAATGCAGCGAGGCCATGGCTGCACGGCCTCAGTTCCCGCATGCACACAGCCCCTGAGCCCTGGCCTTGCCCTCCTCCCTCATCTCCACATTTACCTTCATCCCTCTACAGAGAGTTGCACACTCACAATCTCTGCCTATTTCCCTCTGCCAAACCCAACAAGTGTGTTCGCTCTCCACCAGTAGCGCCAATAAGGAGCTCCCTGATGTAGGGCGTTGCAGATCTTTTAAGTTTACATGGACTGGAAAGGTGACTGGACAAATATATGTAAAAGAAATCCACTGAGGGTTACTGAATATCAGGATAGCATTCCTGTTTCAAGAAGTACTTGAGCCACAGATTCTTGGGAGGCTGGGAAAGTATGCAGGGGAAGCATCTTTACAGATCTGTCCTGCTCCTGTGGTCTTCTCTGGGCATCTGTTATTGGTCACTGCCAGGAAAAAGGCTATGGAGTTAGATGAGGCCTTTTGTCTGACCTGCTGTGGTTGTTCTCAGTGCTGCATGGAGTAAGGCACTATGGGATGTGTAGGTTGTCAAGTTACAAGGGTTGTAGGCCTGACAACAGGAATACCTGCAGTGCAGGTCACAGAGTGATTCTTGCATTAGACAGCTCTGAGGCCCAGACTCTGCTAACACTGACTGCATCTAGGTACATATATACGTGTGTGTGTGTGTGTGTGTGTGTGTGTGTGTACACAAAGCCTCCAGACCCAGTGGTTTCGATCCAGAGCCCTCCATCGAATTCGGCAGGCTCTGGATCAAACCACTTAGCTCAGTGAATACAGGTCAGTGACATGTGAACCCCGTCGGCAGCCCGGGACCAGACTTGTGCTTCGTTCTTCAACACACTGGTGGGCAACTGCCTAAATATGGGTGCTGCCAACTCACCACGGGCCTTTTCTACACTCACTACATTACGGCCCCTGGCAGCTAGCTCCCCGTGCAAGGAAGGCGCCAGGAAAAGGCAGCTTGATGCAAACAGAAGGAGAAATGGACGCAGCTGACCTAAAATGCCAGTTGCCAGAAACTCCTCTTCCTCAAGACACAGCACTTGCAAGCGATCAATCACAAATAGCTGCTGTCATCCAGCAAGGACTCCCACCCAGAGACCTACGCCATCCCCCTCCCAGGAGCTAGCCAATTTCCCCCAGCTTAACAATACCACACACAAGGAAGGCTCTGAACATACAGGATCTGCATCACCATTTGGTTGTGGAAGAAACCTCCACAACCTAAATTTATCTTTTAACAGTGTCAATCAGATATTTCCCTTACCTCTTCATGGAAAGCCACAGCACTGACAGACCCCAACTGAGTAATGAGATCACAGACCACATCTTCCGGCTTCCCCTTCCTCACAACCAGGGTACTGCAAACACAGAATACTGGCCTGAATTAGGTTTGATGTTATTGTTATTTATGTGTACAGGAAGCCCTAGTTCTGGCCCAGGCACCCATGTACTAGTTCTCTATGGAGCACAGACAGCATGTGGAGGCAGACAGACAGGATTTGACTAGCCTACATTTTTTAGGACCCAATGAACACAGTTTGTAAGCCTCTGGGCCTGAGTTTGTGTCAAACACATTTCTACCACCCCAGATGCCTTAGAAAGGAATGACTGGGCAGAAAGCCAGGCTGTTACCTAAAAGTAAGTCTGTCAGATCTGTTCATCCTCACACACTGAGGCTGAGATTGGAGAACTAATTCCTCTTTCAATCCCCTTCACAGGTAGTGGTGGCCTGTGGGCAGTCCCCTCTCCACTTTCATGTAGGAATATTCAGAGGAATTCCTCTGAATACTCCATGTTCATAACAGAGTCAACAAAACTTCCCTCCCACCTTGCAACCTCACCAACTGCCCAGCTGTGTACCCAGGGCACCAGACCAAAAGAGAAGCTGTGGTGAGAAAGTTGGTCAGAGGTGGGTGCAGAGCTCTGTGAGGAGCCTCATATGTGACTCCATCCCTTTCCCTGTCTCCTCACACACACACACACACACACACTACTGTGTCATCATTTCTTGAAGGGGTAATACAGTGCTTTTGCCAGAATAATTTAAAGCATAACTGAAAAGTTTCTTCAAAGATGGGCTGCGTCTGAAGAAGGCAGGAGCAAGGGGTGCTGCTGAGCTGTTCCCCTTATAACCCACAGAAAAGCAGAGACCAAGCTGTCTGCAGGGAACACCACAGATTGGACACAGAGGAAATTTCTGTCTACCACTGCATTAAGACAATACTTCATGGTTGTGGAAATGGAGCGTAGGTCTTAACATGGCTCTTCATAACCACACATCTTCCACTGCAGAAGACCAATCTCTTATCAGCCACTGACAACAGCACAACAGCATTCAGGCAGCTCTGAATCTGTTCACTGCAGGGCGTGGGCGCAGATACCCACTGATCAGTTCTTTCAGTCTCCCATAACATTCACCATCTGCATGTCCATGCTGCACTGCAAACCCAGAGCCATTCCTCTTGCTTCTACCACCACTGTCAGGCTGCTCTGGGAGAAGACAGGCTGGCTGACAGATCTTTTGGTAAGCAAAGCCAGATGTTATCCAGTAATGGGATTCTTCAGCATGTAGACCTTCAGGCCCTGGTCTATCCCAGTTATGGTTTCTAAAGACATAATGAAGGAAGAATCCCTGAAGACCCCCTTCCCACAGCGTAGCCTACCAAAGAGATTGGGTTTAGCGGGACAGCGCATGAGCAAACCTAACTCTCCAGTCTCACAAGCCAGGATCCATGATGTCTGTCTCAAGCCGCCTCCTAAGGAAAACTCACTAGGGACAAGGAAGGACGCATGCCACGGTGGCTAGCGTTGTTGCCTACATCTCGGAAGACTGCCATCCATGTCTGCAGCCATCAGGACTCTGGGTGAAGCGCTCAGGGCTGCTGCCCATCTGTGGTACGTGAGTTCAAGAAAGCAAAACTTCGAATGGCATGCAGCCTGGATGGCTCTTCCCTCCCTTGCAGATGCCACAGCAGGTCATCTGAGCAGGGGTATATGTATGGGACCTTACTGTATCTAACAGAAGGGCTGTGGCTCTCGGAAATGAGCCATCATCTGAGCCCAGAGTATCTGACACGATTTGACTCACAGCACAAATACTTGTTGAAAAAGAGAAAGAAAATAAAAATAGAGAATGCTATTTGCATGGTACTTTCTCATCTATCTCAACTACCTTCCTTTTTTCTTGAGCGTTTCCCTTAGATCCTTCACGCTTTCCAGCAAAAACCTGAGCCGATGGGGCCCCGTCTTTGGGAAGCCGCAGCAGTGGGTGCCCAGGTAGTGCCGCGGGTCGAAGCAGTAGAGGGGAATAACGAAATCTGCGTTGCTCTGAGCCCAGTGGAGCACCTGGAAAGACACAGAGAGGCCCACGACAGCTCTCGGGGGCAGGATGCAGCGCACACCTCTTCCCAGCCTACCCCCCAGCAGGGTTATTGCTAAAGAAATACCCGGGGGGCCGCCGGCCGGGCCCTACCT